TTTTTTTTTTTTTTTTTTTTTTTTTTCTTACTTAGTTTTTATTCATAATCATAAACTTAACTCTGCAATCCAGCTAGACTTGGGAGGGGAATGAGGAGAATATGGAACCCAGAGAACTTCAGTGAGAGCGGAGATTACAGGGTACTGTGAGCAGATGGGGTGGGGGCGCTCTCCTGAGCTACAGAAGGAATGGTCTGGTGGGTAAGAAGCCCGCAAGTCGAAAGAATTAGAGTTGTCCACAGTCGGAAATGGTGATCTTCTTGCTGGTCTTGCCATTCCTGGACCCAAAACGCTCCATGGCTTCCACGATGTTCATGCCTTCTTTCACCTTCCCAAAGACCACGTGTTTGCCATCCAGCCACTCAGTTTTGGCGGTGCAGATGAAAAACTGGGAACCATTTGTGTTTGGTCCAGCATTTGCCATGGACAAGATGCCAGGACCTGTATGCTTCAGGACGAAGTTCTCATCCTCAAATTTCTCTCCGTAGATGGATCTGCCGCCAGTGCCATTATGGCGTGTGAAGTCACCACCCTGGCACATGAATCCTGGAATAATCCTGTGAAAGGAGGAGCCCTTATATCCAAATCCTTTCTCTCCAGTGCTCAGGGCGCGGAAGTTTTCTGCTGTCTTTGGAACTTTGTCTGCAAATAACTCGAAGGAGACACGGCCCAAGGGCTCGCCATCGGCCGTGATGTCGAAGAACACGGTGGGGTTGACCATGGCTGCAGCAAGCGGCGACAAGGGGACAGCGGCGTCTGCAAAGCCCCATTTTTTTTTTTTTTTTTTTTTTTTTTAATGTTAAATGTTTGATGGTTCCTGTCGGGGTTATGTGGTCTTCAACTTTGTGTGAGGTTAAACAAGAGAAGCCTTTTAAAGAGTCACTGGATCCTATATCCAGATGAGCCATATTAGAATAAGATTGAATCAGTAACATTCCCAAGGGTTCCCAGAAGTGTGTGTAGTGTGTACATTGTGGGAGAGCTTGGACCTGTCACCTTTCTCCTTGATGTGCTCTGGGAACCCCCTGTGGTTAAGAGGCAGAGAATGTACCCTCTGCTGGGTTGTCTGGGGGGATGGGGTTAGCCTTTCATTCTGACTAGCCAAACCTTTCCCACAATGCTTTGTGAACAGGGTTTGCCAGAGGTCAGCCTGAATGCCGCTCATGGAATGGTACTCCACTGGGCATTAAGCAGGCAACATTAAAACCATGTTTAAATTCTGTCCACTTACTGAAAGCAAGAATCTCCCTAAGCATTTCTTTTAATGCTGTAAAGCTGCTCTGTTTGGTGGGTAGCCGCTAGCCTCATGTGGCTTTGGAGCCCTTGTCTGAATTTATATGTGTTATAAGGGGAACATATATACCAGTAAGGTCTAAAAGACTGTAAAACATCACATCTGTTTTCAAATATTTATTTCATATTGATATGGTAGTATTTTGGATAGAGAAAATATGAAACTTAATTGCACCTGTTTCTTGTCTTTCAAAAACATGACAACTAGAAAATTTAGGATGATACAAGTAGCTTTTACTGGATTTCTATTGGACCATTAACATTAGTGATTAAAATTTTGGTTATAATAACTTAACAGCATTTGTGGGACACTCAAACTGTCCAGGTTCTTTGCACATACTACCCAATTTAGGACTCAAGTTTTAAATAGAATGAAACATAAAAAAAAATCAACATGCCTCCCATAATGTTTCACATACTAGGTTTTGGGGTGAATCTTTTGGGATTTCTTTATACATACTACCTTCCTTGATTTTTTTCAATGTCCTTCCATTTTTAATGCTTTATTTTATGTGCATTTTGTTTTACCTGCACGTATGTCTGTGTGAGGGTGGATTATATTTGGAGATGGATTACAGACAATTGTGAGCTGCCATGTGGGTGCTGGGAACTGGAACCCAGGTCCTCTGCAAGAGCAGTCAGTACTCTTAACCAATGAGCCATCTCTCCGGCCCCTACCTTGTTCGATTCTTGTACCGACACTATGAGGTACATGCCTGTATCACCGCATGTAACTCATCAACAGAGACTTAGGTTAAGAAACTGCCCCAAGCAAGACTTAATAGGGTTTGACTTCAAGTCTGTTTCAAAATGAAGCTATACAAGCCAATAAAATACGTTGGCAATTAGGGGAGAGTGATGCCACTCAGTCGATGTGATGCAAAGCCCCTCTGTGTCTCTATGCTTTGCTTTCTTCCTGAAGGGACTGGACCTCAGGTGTCACTGGCTATCCCTTGGAGTCTTTCGCATGTTGGGAACCCGCTGCATTTTCACTACTTGGGTTCCCTTTTCTCTCTTGACTCTTACCTTGTGCATGCCAGCCCATGCAGCTAAGGAGGACCAAGTACAGAGTAAACGATGAGAGGCAAGATGGAGGCCTGGTTAGCGGGGGGGGAAGGGCAGCGGGAGTGGGAAGTCCACAGCCCACGGGAAATTCTGCATGGACTGGGGAGGGAGGTTAGTTTTGGAAGGATGGAGAGCTCTTGAGATTTTCTCGCAGAGCTCGGCACCATGCTGCAAACTGCCGGCAGCCTCAGCGGAGATGTGCCTCTCCTCCTGAAGTCTGAAAACCACAGGGAGGGCCTAGGGAGGCAGTGGGCATGCACGAAGCTTTGGAAAGACACCTTCCTTCTTCCTAGGAAGAGAGAAGGGGCTGGTGGTAGAGCCCTTTTAGCATGATTGGGTGGGAGGGTACGGAGCTCAAGACTGGACTTTGCCCCTCTCCAGTCCTGTGATAGGTGGTAAGCAGGTTCTAAACCTCCCTGCGCTGAGCTGCCTCCTCTGGAAAATGGAATAACTCTCTGCTCTGCGGTGTGATGGAGATTAGGTGGCATCTGGAAGTGACAGCGTCTGCATGTTGGATGTTTCTGCTTCACCTTGTCCTCTGCATGTGCACCCAGGGCACCAAAGCCCTGATCCTGGCTTTGCCTGGGCTTGTTCTTTCCTGATAAGGTTGTAACGAGTCGGGGTTCTTGCCATGATCTTTACCAGGTTTTGAAAGATCATCTGATGGCTTTCCTGCCTGCTCTTGGTGAAGTTGCTTGACTTCTCTGAGCTACAGTGACTCACTTATAAAAGGAGATGGAATTGGATTAGATGACTGGACTTTTCCTGCTCTAAAACACGGTGCCATTCTGGAAATCGGACACATTTATTGTCAGAAGGTTAAAGGATAAATTCATATATACACATAAGATTATTTTAAGTTTGAGGGATGGTGACCCGCTGCTTGACTGAGGACAGGACACAAGGCAGCAAACCTTAATTATTTGGGATAATTAACACTCGACTTAATTGTAACTCCATCACACATGCCTTCCCCGATTCTGAAGTAAAGTAGCTGCCCCCTCACCATTTCCCTTTGTAGAGATAGTTCATAACTGCATCTTTGTTTTACATTTAACATTTTGTAGCTGCATCTTTAAGTCATCCAAAGACAGAGTTCTGCCATTATTTGGTCACCTCCTGTGTCTCTAGTTCCAGCACAGTGGCTGTCCCAGGACAGGTGCCCAACAGATATTTACTGGTCAATAGATGATGGTAAAGTTTCATTGGTGGTTGATCCAGTGCTTGTGTTTTTTTTTTAAATTACATATATGTGTGTGTGTGTGTGTGTGTGTGTGTGTGTGTGTGTGTGTGTGTGTGTGTGTAGGTGAGGTTTGAGATCAAGAAGAGATTGGAAGAAAATTATATGGTTAAACCAAAATATCACTTAATATCTTAGTTTTCTGTTCTTAAAAAAAAGTTAAAATTCTCCGTGAAGAGCTTGGGGAGCACCTCAAGTTCGGGGAGCACTTTGGGGAAGAGTCAGAAGCTCTCTCTGGTCTCTCTCAGGAGCAGATTGCCTCCAGCCCTATCTTTGCTTAACTGCCCAGTATGTTAGCCTTCCATGACTATAAGAGAATACCTGAGATATTAACTTACAAAGAGAATGAATAATTTTGGCTTATAGTTTTCAAGATTCTAGTCCCTGGCCAGGCAGACTCGGCTTTGGGGCTTCCCTAGATGTCAATGATGGAGAGTGTGTACCTGGAACAAACTGCCTGCCTCATGACCAGAAAGAGAGAGGGGAGGAAGAGACCAGAGTTGTACAATCCCTTTCATGGATATAATCCTAATGACCTAAGGACATTTCCCTCTAGTACCCATCTCCTAAGGTCCCTCCATCTCTCAATAGTGCCACCCTGGGAACCAAGCTTGTAGCATCTGAGCGATGAGGGGAGTGAGAGTTTCTGCATCCAAACAATGGTACCCGCTGGCTCACAGGCCCAGCAAGATAACTCCCAATGTCTATAGAAAAATGCTTGGCAGACCTACGTTACTGATTTCTCCAGGGTTGGGAGCACTGAAACTCTTGCTGTGGTTTTCTCTATGCACGGCAATGTAGGAACTCTGCCACTCTGGAGTCCATTGGACATCGCTGTCACTCTTTTTCCGTTGGTTTGGGGCTTCTGCTTCCCCTGTGAGTTGAGGAGAACAGCCTCCCCGAGGCTGATAGCTTTTTATGGAACAAAGCAGAGTCGGGCAGCCAGCACGGCCAAGGGGAGACCTTGAAGACACTAGTGAGCAGACATCGTTGGTGTGCTTGAACATTTTCAAACACCCCGTGCGTGGTCCTGGGCACTGTTCTTCCTCTTAGTAGATGGAGAAATGGGCTCCAGCTCTTTCAGCATCCTGTCCTGGGTCATAAGCCTAGAGTGGCAGAAGCAGGACTGAGACTCGGGCAGTCTGATCCTACCTCTAGAGGGCGCCCTCTCTGTTCTACCTCGACTTGCCCCAGGGAGTGGGCAAGATCGAGATCTTCTCTGGGACTCTGCGCTGGTGGGGAAGCTGAACCCAACGCCAGTGTTCCATGGTCCTGTTTGTCAAGAGGCGATGGCATAGGCCGTTTGAGTCCTACCCAAGAACTCTGCATGTTCCCCAAGATCACCCTTCTTGTCTCACCTGCCTCTGGGTGCCTCACCTGTCTGTTTGTCTTTGTTTTCCAGAAGTAGAGCTGCCCCTGAAGAAAGATGGCTTTACCTCTGAGAGCACCACATTGGAAGCCTTGCTTCGTGGTGAGGGTGTGGAGAAGAAGGTGGATGCCAGAGAGGAGGAAAGCATCCAGGAAATACAGGTACCCTGCACCTGCCAAGGGAGCCCCTGAGCATCACCACCGGGTGCCTCACTACATTCTAGGGACAGGGTTGCATCTGTGTTACCAGATCCTTGTGACACCATTGCCAGGAAGCTCAGAGCTTCCTTTGAATTGAAAATCCCAGGGGGGAAAAATCATTGTTCCCTCCAGTCTGTCCCCTTTCCTGGGTCCCCTGTATCTGTACTCAAAAGGTATCTAATGAGTCTTCTGAGCACCAGGTACTGTGCTGAGTTCCGAAGACATCATGGGAACAGGATAGACTGAGTCCTTGCCTTTGTGGGATGAGCAGCCCATCATTTAGACTCAAGGGTTGGGGCCCCTGCCTCACCTCTGCCCCTTTCCTTACACCCCAGCATGAGCTCCAGCTCATCAGAACTCTCAGCCCCTCCCATCTCACCCTCTCAGGCAGGAATAGTTGCCTCAGTCCTCATGTGTCCACTACCCTCTGTGTACACCACCTGTAAAGCTCTTAGATAGCACTGTGATGACGGGCACCTACCATTTCTCATCCTCAATATGTTTCAGATCCCTGTTAGCTAATACTCTGTGGGGTACAAAGCATTATAATAATAACAGTTAATCCTGATTGAATATTATTAATAATTAAATATAATTAAATTATATTTTGATTAATTCATATTGTATATTAAATTTTTACATTTTATGTCATACATCTCATATTTATTCAATTTATATTCAATTTGACATTTAATTTGATTGGCTTGTTAATTTATTAAAATCTTCATTAACAACAACAACAACAACAACAATAACAAATACCATTTTGGTGCTTTGTAAATACCTGCGTGTTCGGGACTGTGGTGCATTGACTGTGATGCACTCAGTCCTTGTGCATGCCAGCATGAAGTTGGCTTTCCATAAGGACCCTGGGCAAATTGGTCTGTCTTACGCTGCTCTTCCAGTGGTAAGATGAACGGTCAAATCTTTTCCACTTAGTTGCTGCCACCTGACGTATTTGTCCCCACCTCTCTTTCCTCAAGCTGTAGCCCTCATGGAGATCCTTGCTGGTTTGTACTTAGCAACCCCGGGGTCATCTTTGATGCTCCTGTCTGTCTCACACCCAGCATCCCATGCGTCAGGAAGACCCCCCCCCCCCCCCCCCCCCCCGTCGGCAGTGTCTTTAGGAGGAATCAGCATAGCCCATTGTCTCATATCCCTCTTGCTGCCCTGATAACCTCACCCTGGTCCCTGATCTGAGCCCCTAATTGCCTTCTCAATGGTCTCTCCACTCATGCCCTAGAAAGTCTTTAAAACAAAGATCTCTTTAAAAGCCTGCGATTTTTAAGCTCATCGCAAAATGGAGAGGAAAGTGAAGGGATTTCTTGGAGCTTAACCGCTCCCATTATCAACACCCTCCATATCGGTTTCCACTGGTGAGCTGCCTTCACCAGGCCTTTCTCCCCCAGAATTCATGGATTATGTTCGTGTTCACTTTTGGCATGCCACATGCTGTGTGCTCGGACAGATGTGTAATGATAGAGTCCACCATATATAGTGCAATACAAGTAAATTTCGCTGCCCGAAACCAACGGTGCCTTGCTACTCGGCCCTTCCGCTCCCAGCCCCCAGCTACAACTGTCTCTCCCCACCCCCACAGTCCAGCTATACAGGTAGCCTTTGCAGATTGACTTCTGTCACCGAACACACAGACTCTTCCTCCGTGACTTGTCATGATGTCACAGCCTGTTTCCTTCCAGTGCCGAACACTATTCTTCGGAGAGGATGGATGACCAGAGGGGAAGGGACTCTTTCCATGGCTGCTCATGCCTGAGTGAAAACAAGGGCCTCTTGCCTCTCTCAGATGGGATGTGCCCTGGTGGTTGGCTCTGTGTGGGAAGTCCTTCCCTAGACATACAGGGGCTCTCACCTTACCTTTGGGTACCCTGACTGCTGTGATTAACGCTATACCCTGCACCCATCTCATTCCTGTACTCTGCTTTTCTTTGTTCTTTTCATACCATGCCTATTGCCATCGAGTATTCTTTGAATTTTATTTCTTTGTGATTGTTTATTCTCCTGGTGGAATGTAAACTCCCTCCCTACCCCCAAGGTGGGAAGCCTCTGACTGCCTTCCTCACTAATACATCTTTAGCACACAAACCCAGCTCGACACATAGGTGCACAAAGTGCCTGCTTGAGTGGATGACTGGGGGGGGAGGGGGGGGCTCGATTCTGATCTTCCCTCTGTCCCACATGCCCTGCTTTGTTATTTCAGTCCTAAGCACAGCTCTGCTTATATCTCCTCCTTCCTAATACATCTTTTGTACAAATCCAGCATGGTAGACATGGCTTCTTGGCTTCTCCTTCATGCTTTAGGCTAGTATTCAGACTCAGTGTCTCCTCTTCCTCGATCTTCTCCCCCTGAGCCTCTGGTCTACTGTGCTTTCTTCCACCTACACCGATTCCATTCAGCGGTTAGGCCCAGCCCCAACCCTACCTTCCCCATCAAACCTTTTTTGGTCCCCTATAACCAGAGTAGTCTCTTTTTAACTTAGGCATTTTTGACACTTCCCACTTTCTTCCTTGTGTGTGTTTCGCTAGTCACGAATTAGTTCCTGTGTTTGGACTTGCAGAGTTTGAAGCAAGGTGTGTCATCCCTGTATGACCCACTGCCTCATTGTTAGTATTCTTGCTCCGTTAGTGTTCTTTGACAGAGTCGGTGACTGATCCAGAGCCGGTACCCAGAAGCCTGGATACCTAGGGACATGCAGCCCCTCTCCTGTAAAGCTGGGAGCAAATCTGAGCTGCCTTCACGTGGCTCTGGGCCAGGATACCCGCTGTCTCTGTGTGGCCATCATTGCATCAGCCCTGGTGTTGGCAGTGTGGCCACCAGCGCACAGCATGGGACTGCGCTGTCTAGGCCGTATGAGGCTGAAAGTAGACCACGAACCACTTGAGTTTAAGTCCTTATTGACTTCGCATTGCAAAACTCCATATATAATAAATTGACGGTGTACTTTCTCATTCATTTTTACTCATTAATTCGTGTATGCTTTTGACTGACAGATGCACTTCTTTTGAACAGGGACTGGGGTGCTGGGGGCTACTCGAATTCGAGTGTGTCACGCAGTTAGAAAAACAAGTGAACACATAAGAGAACCACAGTTTTAGGATAAACGAAGGCCAGTAGGAGGAAGCAGCGTTGAAGGAGGGGCAGAGCTTAGGCCTAAGGGACGTGCCTTTAGCCACAGTCCTGCGGGATGACGGGAACCACAATGTAAGATCCCTGGAGTAACAGCTCAGAGACAGGTCAGTGCCCATCTTGTCCAGTGAGCAGATAGAAGGCCCTGTGGACAGAGTGCAGTGGTTGGGGTGGGGAGGCAGGACAGGTGGGCCAGAGCCAGACCCTTCAGGCCTCGGGAGACCTAGCTGTGGCTCTCTGGCTTCATGTGCGATGAAAAGGAAACCATTTGGGGGGTTTTGAATTTAGATCACCAGGGCAGTGAATTTAGAGCTCATGAAGATTCCTCCCTTCCTGCCCTACATGGAGAGGAGACGGTGCAGGGGCAGAGTGGAACTGATCAGTTAGATCCCTTCCCTCCCTCCCTCCCTCCCTCCCTCCCTCCCTCTCTCCTTCTCTCTCCCTCTCTCCCTCCCTCTCTCCCTCTCTCCCTCTCTCTTTCCTTATTTTCTTTCTCCTTCTTTACTATTATGAACACAAGCACAAATCTTTGTCACCATTACAATAAAGACTATTTAGAGTAAGAGTAGGGACAGTTATTTTCAAATGTTACCTATTTTTCAGATGTCTATGGACAGGGGCTGCCAGTATGTAACAGGGTGGTGGGGAGGGTCGGTTATGGTGTACGTCCCTCATCCTTCATTCCTACCTCCTGACTCCCACTCAGCTGTCTGAGTCCCAGCATAGGCTTTGTTTGTCAGGAACTCCCTACTCCTCCATGAATGAGTTGGGTAGACAGACTTCTGGATTCAGGGCTGCATGGCAGGAAATGTCAACGCATGGAGGTAGTATATCAGAGGCCGGTGTTTTAGACTTTCTAGAACTATAAGCTGATGTCAAGTGGGATGGAAACTCAGGGAGAAATCAGCTTGTTCCTGGACCAAGAGACCATAAGACACTTATGGACCTGCCCAATGGCCTTCACCTGTATTTTTACTTTCCAGCCCAGAATTCATGTTGTGTGAAACATTCCTTGTATTGAAATATGACAGGGACATCAGAAATGTACCGAGACACCAGAGGCAATGGTTTTCAGATACCAGCACTTGGAACTGGCTGTGATTAAATGACTTCAGGACCTGGAAGTTTGTAAGACACAGTCAACAGCAGTAGTCACAGTGGTACCCTGTGACTCATCCTACCGTTTTTATCCGAGGTGGTAGAGCATCTGATCTGGCCTTGCCTGGCTTGACTAGTGACCCCATTTTAAGGTCAGGAAGCTAAGAAGCTTGCTCTGGACCCTCGTCAACATCTCCTAGCTATGGGCCAGAAGCCATGTCCAGCAGACAAGGACATTTCTCTTTGATGTTGAAGGTTGGCCGAGCTATCTGTAAGTGCCGCGTCTCAGTTGGGGTTACTATTTCTATGATGAACCATCATGACCAAGGCTACTTCTAGAAGAAAGCACTTACTTGGGAACTTGCTTACTGTTTCAGAGGGTTAGCCTATGACCATCATGGCAGGGAGTGTGTCAGCAGGCAGGCAGGCATGGTGTTGGAGGAGTAGCTGGGAGCTTACATCCTGATCCACAGGCAGAGAGAGAGAGAGAGAGAGAGAGAGAGAGAGAGAGAGAGAGAGAGAGAGAGAGCCTGCAATGGGCTTTTGAAACCTTACAGCCCACTCCCAGAGACATACTTCCTCCAGCAAGGTCACACTTCCTAATCCTTTCTAAACAGTCCAACCACCTAGGAATGACATGTTCAAATATATGAGCCTGAGGAGGCCATTCTCACTCAAGCCGCCATATTCTATCAGTTTCTGAGAAGAAGTCATGAAACATGCTTTGTGTCCTTTAGATGGACTGGGTGACCAGCAGTCACCTAGAACATGTGACTAGAGTGGGATGTCCTGGTCACTACCTCTTTGACTTCCTGTTTTGAAGACGAGTTACAGAGGTGTTGTCCCAGAGGTCATTTGAGCAGTAATGGTGACATCAGACTGCACGGGGAGTGCACACCACTTTCTAAGCCCTTTTGTAGTTGGTGTGACTTCTGCACCACCGCCACCACCGCCACCAGCACCAGCACCAGCACCAGCACCACCACCACCACCACCAACAACAACAACTTGTAGCCCTGTGCCTAGGATTATGCTACCTCTCTGGCTTCATCTTTGACATCTTTCCCCAGGCCGTGGAGCACTGGTCACATCATAATCTTTCTTCCTGCTGGATAAACCATAGTCCTCCAACTGCTTCACCAGCTGGCCTAGAGCCTCCTCAGCCCCTCCACTCACATACCTAGTCCTCTGTCAAGCAGGCAGTGTGTCTGGGTGGCTGTCGCTCATTCTTTGCTCATCTTCCCTGCCTCCTTGCTCTTGGTCCCAGCCTCAGCCAAGTCTCCTTTGACCTTCAGATCAGGCAGAGTTCTCTGGGAGCACCCTTCCCCAGCACTGTGAACTCTTCTCTCTCACAATCATTACAACAATGGGGGTTATCCGGTTATATGTGTTATTTAAATCTGTCTTCCTTTGAGTACACTTTAAGGTCTACTCAAGGCCAGGGCTGTAGCCATTTGTTTTTAGATGGGCACAGAGCCTACACGTAGTCAGCACTGGACCCACGCTTCTAGAGCCAAAGAATTGCTAGTGTTTAGTTGGACAAGAGGAGGCTCAAAGCCGCATAGGTGAGCTCATGAAGAGCTCCTCCCACCCTGTGGGTCCCTGGCATGGACTCTACTGGGCTCCTTGGTAGCAACTGGGTTCTCTGTGCTCCTTTACCCTACCTTGGGCCTGGAGGTCCACCCTGCCCCCCTCTGCCCGCCTCTCTCCTTTCCTTCTGTGGAGGGAATGAAGCTCGCAGGTTCTGTTTGTGGTAATGCACCTGAGAAGTCTCAGCAGCGAGGGCTGCGGAATGAGTGGGAAGCGAGGCTCACCAACCCGACCTTGTTCTCTCTGGTCACGGCTCTGCTGGATGACTGACCGGTCAACTGTTTTCAGCCTCAGTTTATGTTCCTTTAAAATGGAAACTGGCTCTGGGTTGCCATGTTCTCGGGGCTATTAGAGGGGGCTATTTGAATGTATGAACTTAAAGATTGATTGTAAGTCAGGGGCTGTGATGAAAATCTATTTATCCCCTTTACCACCCGCCCCCCGCCCCCGCCCCCACACAACCCTGCCAACCCAGACAGAGTCTCACACATAACCTCGGGTGGCCTTAGATTTACTATGTAACTGAGGGTAGCCTTGAACTCCTGCTCCTCCTGTGCTGGGATTACAGGCATGTGCCACTAATATCCTGCTGAAAATTTATTTTTCTTAAAAACAACCCCACAGTGGATTAGTATGAGCAGCATGTTAAGGCTGCATTTTGGTCAGTTAGACAGGAAGTTCCTTGCTTTTATCAAGCAGGGCAGAGCTTCACAAAGGTGGAGAAGGGAGAAATGGCTTTTTATATTCTGAGGTGGCTCTTTAGAAATAAAAGAACAGGTCATATTAAAGATGGTAAGTTTGACAAGGCAACTTGGCCCCGCGTGGAAAAGCGTTCTTACGCTCTTGCCAAAAACTCTTTTTGGTGCGCGCGCGCGTGCGTGCGTGCGTGTGTGTAAAGAGTCGAGAAAGGCCAGTGTCCTGGCAAGATTTGGTTGGAAGGGGCCTGAAGGCTTGAAAGAGTACTAATTGCAAAGAGACTTCCAACTCGTAGGCAGCAGCAGCACCCTTGCTTTGCTGAAGAACAAAGTCCCCAGAATACACCCAACCTACCCTTTGATGGTTCTCACGGCTGTGTTTCATCTCTCAACTCCTGTATTTGATTTTCTTGTCATTTTAGAGGGTTTTGGAAAATGACGAAAATGTAGAAGAAGGGAATGAAGAGGAGGATTTGGAAGAGGACATTCCCAAGCGCAAGAACAGGACCAGAGGACGGGTAAGTGGAGGGGAGGCCATGAGGAATGCGTTTAGGATGCCAAGGCCTGGCAAGCCATTGGTCCCTGCTGGGGTTGATTCTAGTCCCCTCCGTACCTGAATAGACACACCTCATGGTCTTACTTGGAGACTGCTCTGAGGAAGACACTGGGGGAGCCCCAGACTGGACATGACTGGAAAGTCCAGAGCTGGCAAGAGAGAGGAGAGGAAGCAGAGGTCGATTCTGAGGGGCTTTGGCTTGGGAGAGCGGAGGGTGAGGAGAATTTTCTGAGACTGTTAAGAGAAGAGTTCTTGCCTTGCTGTCCCTGGGGTTTCCCAGAATGACGGGCTCAGGACATTTGCCAGGGGACATGCTTTCCTGCGCAGAGAGAGTAGAATCTGGTTAGGGAAGCAGGCAGGCTGTGGCTGGTGGTCCCCTGAATGGATTTTGCATGAACTTTAGAGGCATGTGGCCCTGAAATGAACAAGAAAAGGGTCAGAAGTAGGAATGGCAGAGTCACTGATGGGGAGAAAGAAAACACTGGCTAGTTCCTAAGGGAGAAGGAGCTGGCCAAGACCATGTTTTCAGATTTTTCTATTTGGTTCTCCAGGGTCTTGTTCAGCAAAGCATTCTGTGATCACCTTTGGCGATGTCCAAGGGAATCATTATAACTAGGTGGAGAGGTGGAGAGGGACCTCCATGGGGGGACTATGGCTCTTCACTGGAGATTCCATGTTTGAGGGCTCAGGGGTCTGGCTCCTATCAGCTGTAGGTAGCACCTTTCCTTTCCTATGGGTGAGAAGTCAGTCCTGTGGGCCCTGTGGGTTTGGGCCCATGGATAGTTGCTGTAAGCCTGGGTTGTGTAGACAGTAGTGCCACAGAGAGTGTCTACTGAAATTAGGCACCCAGGACCTGTGTTCAGTGATTAGGTCTGGGATCAGGCCTTGAGCTATAGGATCAGCAACTTCCCAGGTGATTGTTGCATGAAGTCTAGTGCTGGCTACCTTGTGAGCCAAGATGCTCCCCCTGTTGATAAGAGCCCTAGTTCTCAGTCTGGGTAGGCCAGCTATCCGATGGTGCAGTGTTATCCGCTGTCGCCATCTTCTTCAATTGCTAGTACTTCCACCACTTTGTCGAATGCATCCTTTTTCCTGTTTATTGTTTGTTGGCTTATGTATTTGTTTCCCACTGGAGTATTTGAAAGTAGATCCTATACATTTCATTCTGTCCCAGTGTGTATCTCTACTAGGCATTTTTATACGCAGGGCAACTATTCCTTGTTCTAATACCTACTAACTACCCTTGCCCAGTGTATTCACTCTATATATGCTGCCCTTCTGTTAATTATCTAGCAGTTGTCATATCAGATAGACTGGTAGTATTACTGTGCTTACATTCAAATAACCCTTATTATACTTATCAGTGCAATAGTAACGATACCAACAATTTGTATATGCCAAAGAGAACCCATTAATAGTTTCCTTGAAGTAAAAAAAGTAAAAGTTCTCTTCTTAAGTTTTGAGGAAAGTGTTATATGCTAAGGTTGATAAACTCTATAGTAAGAACGAACCTTCTTCCTGTGAAACTGTGAAGGAGAAAGGGATTAGTGCTACATTTGCTGTTTCACCCCAGAAGAACCAAAGTTATGGTCATGGCACATAAGTACTTGGTTAAGATGGATAAGGCATTCAACTATAGGGCTCATATAATACTCTCTGAGGTTCAGGAATCCACAGGGTGCCTTGGATCATGTTCTCTGTGGGTTGAGGAGCACTGTGGTTGCTTGGAGATTTGAATAGGTCCAGGATTTCTGTGTGTATGTGTGTATCTATTCCAAGAGGTGAGCATCCTTCCTGGGTGGTGATATGTATTTCTTATCACTTCAGGGGTGTGTGTTGCATGCTGTTCTGCTTTTAGTGGTGTTCAAACTGATCAGAATTGCTGTTGCAGCCCATTCTCTCTCTCATAATGTTCCTCACCAGGGTTTCACCTAATGGTTCCCTACAGCGGTGGATGAACTTGCTTGGCCATATTATTTCACTGTGATGTGTGTGCGACAGTGATCAAAGAAACATCTATCCCATCATTGAAGGAAGCATGGGGCAGGGGGATGGAGTTTCAGTGTCTGTCGTGAATGCCAAGAGCTGTGTACCTCCCAAGTGCTTCCACCCCTGCCCTGTCCCTGCCAGACTTTGTAGAGTACATTGTGGAAAATGGTCCTGGTACTCCTGGCATGTGTAGAAGATGGAGATTGCCGTTAACGAGTAGGGGCTGGGTGTCCTTTCTGTGGAGGTGTCAGGAGTGACAGTACCCACTGGCCCTTATAGTCACTCAAAACCAGGCAGAGTGAAGGGCTCCTGAGTGAGCCCACTCTCGAGAGCCATGATACTGTACTGGGGGCTTTAGGTTCTGCATTCTCCATTTCTAACAGTCCCTTGCAGCAGCTGCTGGCTGCACGTGGCTACCTAGCACATGCTAGTCCAGATTGGAGGGTGCTGTCAGTGTAAAATATGCACCACATTCTGATGGCTTAGGTTGAAAAAAAGAATGCAGAACACCCTCATGGTTAATTTCTATACGTTTTTAACACTAACATATTTTGTTATACTTGGTTAAAATCTTATTAAAATTAAAGCACACCTCTCATTTTATTTTTGTGGGGCTGAAGCCAGGTTTAAATGTGCTAACTAGTTGCTAACCACTGAGCTACACTCCCAGCCAGCTTTTCTCATCCCTTTTAAAAAAGCAGCTACTGGAAACCACGGCAGCACAAGTGTGCCTTGGTATTTTAGAAAGGTTAAGCAGCTTGCTCAGTGTTGCTCAATCTGGCCAGAAAGAAAGAAGGACTTGAACACAAGTCTGCTTCTCCCGTTGAGTCCCGCCTGGTCCAGGACCCTGCACGTCTAGGCTGAATGAACGAACAGAATGAGGACAGCAAGAGGCAAAGTCATATTTGAACTTCATGACTGAGCGACAGCTAATGGTTCCAGGTTATACAGCGACACTGTGGACATATCACCAGGCTGAGAGCCATGGAGGAGGCAGAGGGTGTATGAGTGAGTCTCTGGGCTGAACAAGTGTGGGAAGCTGCCTTGCCCACAGCTTTAAGCTTTTATGTGGGTTTGCAGCAGCTGCTGGAACTTTCTGGAGCAACTACACTGGGGCCTGATATCTGCCTGTGTAGTCTGGACTACAGTCTCAGTCTCACCTGGGAGCTTGTTGGGAATGCAGGAGGAGCCCGATCTCCATCCCACAGGCCATTGACAGGACCCTAGCTACTCTGGACACACGAAGGGGGCAGGGCTTCCGTAGTGAGTCTTGGCAGGACTGCCAATCTTGGCTCTACCACCTACGGCTGCCCCTTGGGTGAATCATGTAACTTCTGTGACCTGGGCCATCATTGAGTTGGGAATAATAACACATAGCCAAATTTGAGTGCCCAATGAAGGACAGATATGGAAGGATATTGTAAGCAAAGTGGATAAATTTCTGAGTTTTAATACTCTATGTTCTTGAGGGGATGAGGACAGTTCATATCCAACAATAAATAATTGTGTGTATGGTAACTTTAACCTAAAAAGTTAATGAAATTCTTGCGATTAGCCCTTGTATTATCAACCAATCAATCAAATTAGTAATTGTTGGTACACTCGTGGTACAGTCCAGTGTTTTTCAAACTTGTATGTGCACGTGAAGCCCGCAGGGTGTTGTTTAATGTCAGCACAGTAGCTGCACCTTAATCTACTTCTATCTCAGCCAGCAACTGCAACTCTGCAGTTTCCGGCCTGCTTCTCTAGCAGAGGCCTGGCCGCTCAGGCCACAGCTTGGTGACAATTCTGTTCCCGCAGGCACTGGCCCTGTCACTGCCACTAAAGGTAGCTTGAACTAAATCTCTATCCTTCTAATCATGAATAAGACTCAAGATTCAAAGGCTGGGGTGAAAACCTGCGAGCTCAGAGAGGCTGAGCAGTAACTAGTTCACCCTGTCTCCTTGCTGGCATCCATGGAAGACCCATGCTTCCCTTTTGCCCAACCAGAAAAACCTGCATCACTCCAAAGCCTGCCCTACCACTTCCTGGGTGTGTGTGTCTCCCCTGGATGCTCTTTGAGGTTCTCTGATTACTTTCTGTCAGCCAGTTGCTGACACAGCCTCCTGACCCAAGGTTAATTTTATTTAATTAATGCAAATGCAAACTCGGGGTTCACAGTGTGACTGAATATCCCCTAACACCAGGGATGTTGCCAAAGGTCAAATTCTGAAGTGGTAGTTCTGGGGTATGGGGGGCTAAGTTCTTGCCTCGAAGATAAGCTCCTGGGTGTTGCTGGTCTGAAGACCATGCATTCAATGGCAAGGTAGTAGAGCAGTGCCCTCCCCTTCCCTCTCTGCCTCAGGAAATTTTTTTTTACACCCTTAACAAATACTGACAGCCCCGCAAGGCTATTGTTCTGAGTATAACAGGTGGCATTAATCTCGCTAATGATTTGCTCTATTTGAAATTAAGACAAAATTCAGCTTATGAATGTAGCTCATGAATATACAAGTGCCCGCTGAAAGCCCTGTCAAATGTCATGTAGCCTCTGGAAAACCCCACTGTACGCTTGTAAGAAAAGGAGAACGAAGATGGCAAATGATCTTTTAGTGGCACCAGGAGAATAGCTTTTGTCAAAAAAAAAATATTTATTTTTAATTATGTGTATGTGGTCATGTGTAATGAGTGCAGGTGTCCTCAGAGGCCAGAAGAAGGTGTTAGATCTCCTTGTTGTAAAGCCAACTGTGGGTGCTGGGAACTGAACCTGGGTCCTTTGGAAGAGCAGCAAGTGCTCTTAACTGTGGAGCCATTGTCTCCAGCCTATAGGAGAAGTCTGATAGTCATCCCTGGACACTACTCAAGAGTAGCTTTTGTAGAAGAATTACCCTTGGCTGTCTTGGTTCTGGGTCTTTTTGTTATAGGAAACTCAATGTCTTTAAGCCTAAAAGAGAAGGATTTGAAACCTTGGGGCCATTATCCCAGATGTGAGTGGTCTTTGAAGATCCAGATCATAAGAGGTGACAGGGAATCAGGACTGAGGAGAATTAGGACCCCGGCAATGGCCTCTGCTTCCTCTTTCTCCTCTCTGGTACCTGGGTTCCCTAACTCCTCTGTGTACAGGACCCTAGAGCTCCTGAATTTGTGGGTCCCTACAATTCAGGTGACCAACAGAGGTCACTGCTTTCAAGCTCTAAGTCCCTTGAAGGTAGACTCTAGTGGCCTAGGTTGGAGTTAAAACAGGCTTGGTGGAGAAATTAGTTGACTCTTCCTGAGCTTACCCACTTATGGTCAGTAAGGCAGGGCCCTGTGGTACAGTCATGGCTGCCATGGCCCCCAGTGTATAAATGGGAGGCGAGCATCTTCAGGGAGGGAGGATGGGTCATTTTTGGAGGGTAGGGTTCAAATGGCTCTGTATCCAAGTATAGAAACCTGTCCTGCTGTTTCTGCTGGCTCTGGACCTGCGGGCAAGTCATGGACCCGCTCAGAACTGGTACCAACTGCCAAGACAGGGACAGCAACACCATTGGTCCAACACACAGGGTTATTACAGAACCACCTGAGCTAATATGTGTGGACGAGCTTTGTGCTGTGTACACAGCAGCATGTTAGGGGTTCATGATAAAATAGAAAGTGCCATCTTTCCCCTCAAGGATCCAAGACTCAAATTAGGGAGGTGCTAAGACTCACAATACAAAGACAACTGCAGACTTCTCATCATGTGCTAACCAAACTCGAGAACCTAGAGGATCCACATGGGCATGGAGGGGTCAGTGACTTACTGAGCACTTCCTGTGGGCTTAATGCTGTGTCATGTGGCTTGACACTCCTAACCCTCACCATCTCGACAACTGTGCTGCAGAGGGGTCCCTGTGCCCATTTTATTTATTCACTTACTTATGTATTATTGATTGAGACACAGTCTTTTTAAGTAGCCTTGGGTGGTCTGGAACTTCCTGTGTAGACCAGGTTGGTTTAAACTTGCAGTATTCCTTCCGCCTCTGTCTCCTGAGTGCTGGGGTAACAGATGTGTACCCCTACATCTGGTCTGCTGTTGTCCATTTTATAAGTGAGTAAGTTAAGGCTTAGAGGGGTAGCTCGTTCTATGACACATAGCTGGTGCTACCTGTTATTTGGATATGGCTCAAGTGTCCCCGAGACTTCATGTGCTGAAACTTAAAGCCCTTTGTGAGATGTTAAGAAGGCAGAAATTGGATGGCTGTGGTATTTAGAAGGGGCCTTTGGAAAGTGACTAGGCTTATTAGGTAAGGTCAGGGTAGAGCTTCCTGATTGGGCCCTAGGGGTCAATAAGAAAAGGGAGAAGGACTGAAAGAGACACACATGAGGCCCTGTTTCTTGCCATGTGGTGCTCTGTGTTGCCTATGGATTTTGGTAGCAAGGATATCACTATATGAGTCCCTTACATGTTACACCTCCTGATCCATGAACCAAACTAAACCCCTTTTCCTTATGAGAGTACCTACCTCAGGCTTTTTGTTATAGTAACGAACATCTGACTAATACAACTGGAATTTCAGTTTAGTTCCATCAGACTTCAAAACAGTGCTGGTTTTACTCTGCAGTGTATCAAGAGGAAGATTTTTGGAGGAGTGGGATGCTGGCAGGGCTGAATGTAGATAGGCTATGGATGGCATGGCAGAGGCAATCATAAAAGGAACAACCATGAAAACAAAAATGTAGACACAGCAGAGCCTGGGGTGAGACCGTTGGGTTGGTGGTAGGCTGCCATTGGCTAGGTAAGTGTGTCATAGCGGGCAATGGACGAGCGTGAGTGAATAAATGACCTTGAGCTTCCACCTCTCATCACTTCTGGCCAGGTGGTCATGCAGGATGGGTTAGGCTGGGCAGTGGGGAGGTAGAGCCCCAGCTGGGAGCTTTCCTGGGGAGCTCAGGATCAGCTGATGGTCTTTGAGGGAAGAAACTAGCATTGGGATACAGATGAAGAAGAACAGCAATGGCCGACTCACTGCCTGATGGATTGGTGTAATGATCTGGCATGTACTCGGTTCCAAGAATACTGGTGGCCCAGACAGGACTCGACCTCTCATGGGACAGATAGAAGAAAATCAACAAATAAACTAACACATGATCAATGTAGAGCCAGATAACAACACTGCTGTGAAAAAAAAAAATAAAAGCAGAGGCAAAGAAAGAGAATGAAAGAATGCAAGTGGACATGGGTGGGCTAGGGAGGGCTTCCTGGAGGAAGCGGCATTTGAGCAGGACACATAGGATTCTCAGTTGTCAAGTCTTCCAGGAGATCAAGAATTCCCTTGCCTTAGGAGAACCCCACATGCATTGCCTCAGAAGCCCTAGAGCCTTTATCTCGGTTTGGCAAGACCAATGCATGGGGAGTGTGGGAGCATGCAGCCTCCCTGCTGGTCAGCCCAGCAGCAAGGGGAGGGAGCCTGGCTCTCAGGCGCTGCTCTTTCCCTCTGCTGGCTCCCTCAGGAGCCCCAGGTGCTCCTGTCCTGCCTGCCCCCTCATCTCCTGCCTTGACATGTGGCCAGTCTCGCAGAGCCCTTCCGGGGGCGGCGTTTGCTGTGCCTCATCATTCTGCTTGACTTGCTTTTACCTGCTCCAAGGGGCTGTGACAGGGCTGCCGGCTGGGCATGTCAAGCTGTCCCTGGCTTCACTGAGAAGGTGTGGGGAGGGCCAGGGCGACCACCCTCAGCATCCTAGACACGGTGTCTGTCAGTGCCTAGGGGGTGATGGCCAGTGCTCATAGCTCCTCCTGGGGTTAGTTCTGAGTAATGAGGGCATGGAGAGGAGGAGGAGGAGGAGGAGGAGGAGGAGGAGGAGGAGGAGGAGGAGGAGGAGAAAATGGAGGAGAGTAATAACTTCAATTGATTATCCATAGCAGGGGTGGGGGCAGGGAGGCAGCCACAAGGAGGGAGGTGGAATTTTTCTTCTTCTTCTTCTTCTTCTTCTTCTTCTTCTTCTTCTTCTTCTTCTTCTTCTTCTTCTTCTTCTTCTTCTTCTTCTTCTTCTTCTTCTTCTTCTGAAAAAGACAAGCTGAGGAGATGGTAAAAGGACTTGTTTGGCCGGTGGAATTGATTGTGAAGTGCGTGTATTTGGAGAGTGAGTGCCACAGACCTGGAGAGTGGGCCTGTCTCCGGTGAAGTCTCCAGTAAGATATGGATACTTCTATTTGTGAGTGTGTATGTGTGGGAGAATCTATCCCAGGCCCTTTCACCATGAATCCGTGGGCCCCACTTCTCTAGAGTGGGGTCTTGAGCCTGCACCCTAGACTTCTGTCCTGTCATGCCCCTCTCCTGCTGACCGTTTCCTCTCTGTCCCTGAAGATCAGACCACAGCCAGCCCTTACCATGGCTGGGAGTTTACTGCTACTCATTAGCAGTGAATGACCCAGAGGAGGCTAAGGTGCCACAGAAAGGCCGGCCTGGGGCTTACAGTAGCTTATAAATAAGCCTTGCTGCTTTCTGGTGCCGCTGTTTGGGGATGCAGGGCTGCTGGCAGCCTTTCAGGCTGGTCTCTCCTATGACTGGAGTCTAGCTCCTTCTGCCAGTGTCCCCTCCCCCCGGTCACGTGATTCACCCAGGAAGACACACAGGGCTCTGGTAGGTATCAGGAATCCAGCTCCATTTGACCTTGAAAGGTTAATGTCTTAGCTCCTGGCTGGAGGCTTGAGGTAGACCACATACAGGAGCCCTGCCTGAAGCAGCCCTACTGGGAAGGTCAGACATGGAGGAGGCTGGGCTCCTGAGGCCTTTAGGGCAGGCAGCTGTGGGCTCAGGAACTTGGGGTGACGCTGTACTTATTCTCCCTGCCCCCCTATCCCCAGTGTGCTCATCAGGAGAGCAGCATGATGTACTTATTCTCCACTGTGTGGTGGCGCGGTAGAGGCACCCTGTTCGATGGCCACAGGACCGCATTGGTTAGACTCCTGTTGCTGTGCTTTAGGAGCTCATGGCTTCAGAGGGGTCAGCCACGGTTGGCTTTCTCCATCGCTATGGGTCTGTGGGGGAGTCTGAACCTCCCAGTGGCAAGAGTATATGACTGCACAAGAGTATATGGCAGGAAGAAGGATGCCCAGGTCAAGTATAACCTTTAAAGATGTGCCCCCCCCCATGCTTGCCCTTCCAGTCTGGCTCCGCCTCCTAAGGTCTCCATCACCCCCAAGAATAATGCCACTAGCTGGGCATTTTCATACTCAGGCCATGACACCGCCGTTCAGTCACACATCCTGTTTATGTTCCTGCTCCGCATTTAGTAGATGAATGATGTTGGGAAAGTTACTCCGCCTCTCTGTTGCCTCGGTCCCCTCACCTATACAAGGGGACCACTATTATACCTTCCTCTTGGAGTTATTATGAAAACAATGGGACAAACGAGCCAGGTGAGTAGCTGAGTGATTTGGGACAAGTTACCTCATCCCCTGGGTCTCCGTTTTCTTGCTTGTAAAGCAGAGTTGGCATGGGAACAGAGGCTGTGATGCAGGTGATTCACTCGGGCCCTAAAGAGTGTATGCCCATGAGCTGAGTGGCTGTCACAATAACAAGTGTCCCGTACTCAATGTCTCCTCAGGCTCGTGGCTCTGCAGGTGGCAGGAGGAGACATGATGCCGCTTCTCAGGAAGACCATGACAAACCCTACGTCTGTGACAGTAAGTACCTGGTGTGCTGTCTCAGCCCAGTCTCCCTATGCTGCCTTGGCAGCCGCCCGCCAGCTCTGGGCCGCACCAGGCTTTTCTGCTTCCAGCTCTGTGTGGTCACATTCCCCGCTTTTGTTATGGCCTTGGCGGGGCTCTGGGCACAGGGGATAGCCTGGAAGGGGACTACTCCACCTCTTGCACTGCCCTTCAGGATCTCCTTCCTGGCTTTCCTCCTACGTTCTCTCATGGTCTCTTTCAAGATTCATCGTCTGCATCTTTCTCCAGTCCAGAATCACAAACAAAAGTGTAGCCCCAAACTCTCTGACAAAGGTTCTTGGCTTCTGCCACGTTCCATTGGTTTTTCCTCTGGTTCCCTTTCTCTCTCCCCATCTCCTGTCCCAGGCAGGGCTGCTGCTGAATCTTTCCGTGACGATGGCTTGCTTTAACAAATGGCCCTCGATTCACGCCCACCGTTCCTTTCCTGATTCAAAAACATCTTTTGGAAGAACGATTACCTGGCTCCGGGGTTAGAGCCTGAGGTTAGACGTAGTGTAGAGGCCAAGGGAGGCCGTAAAGAGGGACTGTGGTCACCGAGAAGACAGAAGCTTTCTTTTTTCTCACATGCCGGGGTATGGTGTGGTAGGCTCCACAGCCTTGTCCTGTTGTCCGCCATTCTATTGGGCATTTCCTGCTCACTCCATGGCAAGACTAGACATCAATGCCACATGCCCAGGGGTCTTCCTTCCCCCTCTTGTCTGCTCTCAAAACCCAGAGCTTGGTCACCAGGACCAGGCTGCTCTGAGAACAGCAGGAAGCTAGACAAGGCAGGACCTGGCATGGCGGTCTCTCTGGGTGCTTCTCCATCTTGTCAGGCCTGCAGCTCTGTAGAGGCAAAGAAAGCCTGGGGATAGGACATCAGGAGCACAATGGGGTGGTACCTTTTCCCTATCCTTGACTTCAAAGATGTTCTGTTCCCTGTGGGGATGACATTTGGTGGGACAACATTTTGCTAGAACTCAAACTCCAAGACTCATTTGGCTGCTCAATACACCATGCAGATGAGATTCCTGAGACATCTGCAGGTCATATCACCATCCTCAAGCAACTGTGTTCCAGGAAGAGAAGGGAGCAGGGCCTGGGGTCTGGTGCCTTTTGGCAGAAGGTGCCTGCTTTGGTCTGGGCCTTACTTCCTGGATGTCATTTAGTTGTGTCCTGATGTGTGAACAGTCCAAGCATGCTGGTCCTTGGGAGACTGGGCAGTGGGTGGGATTTCCAGCTGTGTACAGCACCCCACTAAGAGGGCCAGCAGCTGTTTTGAAGCAGAGACATGGCTGCTCCATTTCTCTTTTAAAAAGCTGTTTCCCATTATGTGACTCTCTGCTGCTGGAGATAGTGGGATTAGCTTTTCACTCTATTTCTGTAACTTCAAAAGAGTTCCTATTGCATTGATTGGTGACTGATTGTGTATCCGTGTGTGGGGTGCATGCATGCAATGGCTTGTGTGGAGGTCGGAGGACAGCTTGTAGGAGTTGGTTCTCTCCTTCCACCTGTGGGTTCCAGAGATAGAACTCAGGTCCCCAGGCTTGGTGTTCAAATGTACTTACCTGCTAAGCCATCTCCCTGGCTCTCTTTCTAGAATTTTCATGGGATTCCATGTCTCATGTATTTCTAGACACACTCTTGATGATCTTTTTTTCTTGCTTCAGTCTCCCCCCCCATTCTTTTCTGCCCTCCTCTTTCTCTGACGTCTGTGTCCCAGTGTATCACCTCTATGAAGCATCCTTTACGAGTGCCCTCTTGCCTGGCTCCTGGCTCTCCTCTTCCCGCACAGAGCCTTTGTATCAGCCTCCTTCCTCCTAGCTCCTGCTCTGCGCTTCCAGCAGACTCTCTCTTCCAAACCTCCCAGCTCTGCTTAGGGGCTCTTGGTGTCCTTGGCTGCTTTCTGCTACCCTCCCCAAAGGGTCACTTCCTCCCCATTTCCCCTGAAGAAGGTCTTGGGAGGACTCATGATAGGATGGCACCAGCTTTCCGGAAGTCTCAGCAGCTGCTTCCTTGGCTCTGCCCACCTATGTACTGACTCCCTCTGCAAAGCAAGGTCCGTTGCAGTCTGCCCGTCTTCATTCTGACTCTCTCAGGACATTGTGTGACAGCTTGGTGATTAATAGACTTTATTTTTATCTGGTGCCCTTCAGACAGGTGATCCCTAGGGGTAGAAGTGACCTTTGGAGAGGTCATGAAGCCCACCCCCCCCACCCCTCAGCTGGACAAGGAATGCTTTTAATAATCTCTAATGCATCCTAACTAGGGAGGTGTCCTGTCGCCCTCCTTCAGCATCCCCAGGGATGGTGTTACCACTAGCCCTTTCCCCCACCATTCCAGCTGTGCTTCCCTCCAGCTGTGCTTCCCAGGACTGTTTTCCTTAAAGGGAGCTGGAACCATTCTCTCTGCATCCCCTTGTCTTTTGTGTCTCCTTCCCAGCAGAGAGGCGTGCTCAGCATTTTGGTCTAGCATCTGCTGAATTCTTGGATGAACTAGGGTCTGTCTTACTCCATAATCTCGGTGACATCCTGCTCTGAATTCCCTTCCGGGTCTATATTTAAGCACTTCTACCAGAAGTAGCATCAAAGCCAAGTAGCTCAAAGAGCAGACATTTTCTTGTTTGATTTATACACCAGCTCCTGGAACAACCCACATTTTCAGAGACTACCCAACTGCTTTGTGCACACCTAACCACTTCCCAGTCAGTTCCTATCTGTCCAGCACCAGGGTCTCTCCAGGTGTAGAATCTTTCTCCTGAGGCATTTGATTATCTTTCTTTCCATAAATCACTCTGCATTTGGCCCCATTGAATCTCAATAAACAGATACAATAATGTGTGACTTCAATATACAAGATTCAATAAAGGCAAATTTAAAGACATTGCCCAGTAGTTAAATTCCATTCTCCACAGACTTGCAATCCCTGCCATTTTTGTATCATCTGTGGTTTGATTTGCATAATTCCACTCCATCTTTGGAGTTATTTATGAAAACATTAGGTCACCTTGGACCCCAAACACCTCTCTGTGGATTTATGTGGGTTGGTAATAGCCATTTTTTTTCAGATGCAGCTGTGTTTAACCCTCCCTGGTATGTGTTCTTGGATGAGGTCGATGCCTTTTGATGTTGTTGGTTCAGACTTCCTTTACACAATGGGTAGTTGAAATGTTACCTTGGTGGATAACTTCAGATCATAGAGGTTTACTTTCTGCCTTTTACTCAGCCATTGGATTTATTTCATCTCAGAAATATTAAATCATCTAAATATAATTTATTTTTTTCACTCAATCTATGGTGTGCACATGAATACTTCATTTTCTAGCAAGTAACCAATTTCTATTAATTATCTTGAAATTTTACTGAGTTGAAGGCTTGAAGTTCAGTTCCTTCACTTTCTGTCTTTTGTCTCAGGAAAGGTGTTCATTATCTTAAAACAAAGAACAGAAATGGGCTTTGTGGGGAGTCTGTTGGTATTTGTGGATCTTGACCACCTGCGCAGAAATGACCAAGACACTCATGAAAATGCAGATTCCAGGGTCTACATGGCAGACTTCCTCCATCAGAATCACAGGGGCTGGCCTGGAGCCCACATGTTTCCTGCGTGTTTCAGGGAATTCATAAGTATGTTGATGTTTGAGGATGCCTGGTTTTCCTCATTCCAATGTGAAAGCCTTGACCATCCAGCCCTTTTACTGCCCCCTGCCTGGATCTCTCTCTCTCTCTCTCTCTCTCTCTCTCTCTCTCTCAGATGTATATGTATGTGTTACATGTGCACATATGAGCATGGCTGCATGCACATGTGGAAAGCAGAGAAGGATATCAGATACTCTGCTTTATTCCTTTCTGCCAGGATCCATCTCTCACCGAGCCTGGAGCCAGGCTGGCAGCCAGCAGGCCCCAGCAACTCTCCCATTTCCAAGCCCGTATTGTGCTGGGGTTCTAGATGCCCATCCTGCCACAGTATTTTCCATGGGTGGTGGGATCAGGACTCAGGCCCTTATTCTTGTGTATCTTTTACCCACTGAACCATCTTCTCAGCTCCCAGGCCTAGAAATCTCATGGCTCCAGGATTCTCTAAGCAGTCGGCCACTGGCTTGCCTCACTGTTTTAGTTGGCTTCCTTCACATCTTTCCTTGGAAATTCTTTCAGCAATGGTAAAGCTCAGTCATCCACCCTAAACACAACACTCCTGCACCTGATTTTAATTTATTCGGGAGCATAAAGCCCTAATAGTACCATTATCACCTGGTCTAGCTGGGGTGTTAAGTGGGGACAGACGTGGAGGGAATCCTCGGGTGTGGGCTCCTGGGATATGTTCAGAGTCATTGCCTGAGTCACTCAGCCTTGGCCTAAGAGCTTCCGGTTCTGAATCGCTCTGTAGCACCTTTGTCGTCAGGGAAGACTCCCAAGGAGAGACCTACTTTCATATTTTTTTTTGTTCAAGGAGCATGACAGAGAAGAAAATGGCGATGATTGAGAACATTTAGTCTCTACATGGTAGGCGTTCTGAGAGGAACAAGAAAGACCCTGAGTTACAGTGACAATCTTATTAGTGCGTACCTACAGCATTCAGAGTGGTGTGCTCGGCATTTTGTCAAGACTGTCTCCACAAACCCCAACAGTAACCCTCAGCCACAGAGACAGCTGGCCTCACTTTTCTGGGAAGAAACAGAGGGCTCAGAGAGGTGAAGGGACTTCCCCAGGTCACACAGCTGGTCAACAGTCACCCCAAGAGATGAACCCTACTTCCTTAAGCTCTAGAAACAGCACAGTTCTAGGTTTGGTTTAGTCTAGGTCTGGTTTAGAGTGTCCTCCTCCTACTGTGGAGTTCTCCCAAGAGCTGAGGGAAACATTGTTTTAGAAATTAGTTAACAAGCACTCTTCTTTATGAGGCAGGACCCTGTGTGCTCCTAATGGGCGGCTTCTAGTATCAGATTGGCAGGCTTGAGTCAGGTAGTAATTGTAATTGGATGG